ATGAAGCCATTATTTTGTGATCCCTGTTCCTTTTTCTAGACCTTTGTCAGCCATCTCTTACCAAGAATCAAATTCAAGTCACTGGTCTGTAACTTGCAGGTTTCATCCTCTTACCTTTTTGGGAAACTGAGGCAGCATTTGCTCCTTACCCAATTCTGCAATACCTCTTCCCATTCTCCAGTCTTTCAAAGACCTTTGACAGTGGCTCAACAGTCATATACTCCAGTTGATTTTTTTGTGTTTCTGAGTATATAGTTCTCCTGGGCCTGGAGAATAACAATCACTGAGTACAGTAACTTGGATATTTTTACTAGCTGCCCATTCTGTTGGCTATCAGATTTCTAGGAGTCATTTGTCATGTCCTTTCCAGTCTAAAGACTATTTCCTTGGTAGAGAAAAGAGAAACAAAAGAAGAGATGAGTAGTTCTAACTTCCCTCCACGATCCTTTATTATCCCATTCACTCTGAGTAGCAGTTCTTTCTCTTAATAAAACTGAAAACTGTGTAAACATAATGACCAAGGCTGGCTCTGAATAAAAGATGAGAAAACGCACCGCCCTCTCCCATCTTTGCAGAGGTGGAGAACTATGGGCATGGAACACCACATATACTGCCAGACTTGGTCGATGTTTTGCTTGGTTTTGATTAGATGCATCTTCCTTCTCTTTGCTTATTCATTCTTACAAGAAATAGTTCACTAGGTAAGGGGAGTTAGGAGGAGTATATTTGGCAGTGAAGGTGTTGTACAAACAAAACATATCAATAAAAAATTTTTTTAATCTAAGTGTCAGTGAATTCCCCATGTATCCCTCTCTTTAGATAGTGCCTCTCTGTGTCTTCAGTTTCACCGCAGCAAATTTCTCCTGCCCCTTAGAATGACAATTCCTACAGAATTGTAAGCCACAGCATCTTTTCTATCCTTTCTTTCAGCTCTCAGAGATCTGCTCTCCCCAAATCTAGGATACAGGTCAGGCTATGACCAACTTTCCTCTCTTAATCTATGTCAAATTCTAAGGTACAGAGGTTACTTCCTCACAGAGTTGCCATCAGCACCATCTCACAGCAACCACTTCCTCCACAAGAGTTTTATTTTCCCTTATTGGTTTTTCCATCTTTCAAAGAAAGAAATTGCTAGCTGCTCTGATTTTGCAAAGAGAGAGCTCTCTCAGATATCTGAACACTTGCATTACCCATTACCACTACCTCATGTTGCTGCATCAGGCTTGTAAATGGTTTCCTAAGCTTCTCATCTATGTCCTCTTTCTGACCAGCCTGTGGCACATTGTAATGACAGTACTGCACCTATTCACCTAAATACTTTCCACCATGCTTCTTCCTCAACTCCCCCAGCTGTGTGGATTTACAGGGCTACTTTAACATAGCTGCCAGCATTATTTTCCTAAGGTGTAAATCTAACCATGTCACACTTCTGGGCAATAAACTCCAGTAGGTCCTATTGTCTCCAAGATCAAATACAAACACCCTTGGTTTAGCATTTAAGGCCCTTGCCACCTGATCCCAACCTGCCTTTCTAGCCTAAGGACATGCACACAGTAGCCCAGTCAAACTAGCTTTCTGTTGGTTCCTCATATACAGCCCTCTATATCCCACCTCTCTTTGCCTTTGCCTTGGCTGTCCTCCACCTTTTCCGAATTACCCAAATTGCCAGGTATCTATTTTGTACATATTTGTCCATGTAAATCTCGTCTGCCTTGGCTACAGCGTAAACTTCTTGGGGGCAGGGCCTGTTTTCACTTTGGCCTTTGTATCAGTAACTAGAACATGTACTTTGGCTTGATCAGCTCACATATGAAATCTTGGGTTCACTTTGGAGTAACATGTTTTAGGAGGGATATTAAAAAACTAGAAAATGTCCAGAGAGAAAACCTAGCTCGCAGACACACAGAATTTCTGAGTTGGAACAGAATGTAGTGGTCATTCTGATAGTCCCTGCTCATCCCCAAAGAATTCCTTCTACAGTGCCCCAGATAAAGCATAATCCACTTATGAGGCCTTGATGGGCCTCTCCACAACTTTTGGTTCTGACCTCTGGGGCCAAGAAGATTGAGTCTGGTCTCTCTTCCACATGACAGTCTTTCAAATATTTGAACAAAGTCACTATGCTTCTCCCTGTTTTCTTGTTCAACAAGATAAATGCCTCCAGACCCTTCAACTGAGCCTCAAATGGCATGAACTCAAGGTCCTCCACCAACCTGGGGTTGCTGGGATTTAGAGACAGGAAGATAATCAACTGAGAAGGGATAACAGAGAGCTACACTGGCACATAACTGGGAAGAGCTTTCAGTAGTCATAGGGCACTGACCACATCTGGATATGGGGGAGAGGACAGAAAGGTAATTGGGAGTCTAACTAAATGATCACACACAACCTCAACAGAAAGGTCCTTAAGAAAATGAGACCCACTTCATTTTATAGATGAGGCACAGTGATTTGCCTGTGGGAGAAAAAAGACTAGAACCCAGGTTCTCTGACTCCAAGTCCTCCTACTTGGAGGTTTTTTTTTAAAGGCCACATACCCAATTTGATGACCAAAATAAAACTGAGTAATTTTAAAATTGTGAAATGTTAACAAAATCAGTGCTACTCTCCGAGTTGTCACCTACTACAAATTTTAAATGCCCAAAGAGATGCCAACCCTGACAATCCTTGCCTGGAGAAGACAAATTAACATTAAACTAAAAACATAATTACAACAGCAAATGCATTATTAGAATAACTACACAGAACATTCAAACCAAATGTAAATTATATGGGACAGTGTGCTGTCTGGAGTTGTCCTACCCAAGCTCCTTTTCATCAGCACAGCGCTACGTGAGCATCGTCATCATCATTATATTAGAATAAGCAGATCATCCCATTCTGTAGATGCTTCTGTCTCCAGTGGCTCCTAAGTTCTTTGTACTCGGCCCAGACAAAAAAGAAAAGAATCAAGAAGTAGAGCTATCCATGCCAGGGCTGGCTGGCCCAGCCCTAAGGCAGGAACCAGAGTTTGCCCAAGGTTCTCATTAATCAGAAAGAACAAAGAAACTGCTTGCTTCTCAGTTAGGGAATAGGGTTTTCCTCATTGTGTCCTGTCATGAATTTAGATCTTTCATAGGACAAGACATGCTTTTCATCAGAGCACCAATGTGATGCCAGCACCCCAGTGGCATCCCACCCCCAAGCCTCCTTTTCAGACTCACTTCAAAGGGCTGCACATTTTGCCTTTAAGAGCACCGAGGACCCTCGGGCTGCAGTGAGGCCACAGAGGTGCTACACGCAGGGCAATGCAGACCTGGAAGGTGAGCAAAGAGAACAAGATGGCCACTCTTTGCTCCTCACTGTAGTATCTCAAGGCTGGCTGATTTCAATGGTGCAGGCAATCCTGACCACCAGGGCAGATCGCAAACTATCCAGACCCTGCTAGGCAGTCTGGATGAGCAGTGGTGTCAAAAAAGAAAAAAAATCATTCAGGGACCAGTTTTGTGGTGATGAGCTTTTCTGGACTCAGCCAATTCTTAGATGAGAGACACACTGACTGTCACTACCTAAGATCTGTCAGCTTGGTGGAAGCTGCCAGAGCTTGTGTTCTGCGGCCATCACTTTGGAAAGCCCAGTGTCAGCTCCTTGCTGCGATGGGGCAAAGGAAGAGGATTTTAGTGAAGGATTCATTCTTGACAGCTGAAAAGCAATCCCTTAGTCATTATCCTCCATTATCAATGAATTTTCTTAATACCACAAAAACAGACTATCTTCTCTCTCTTTCTCTGTCTACTCTGCTCCCTCCTGCTTCCCCAAATCAACCAAGGTCTTAGGGAGGGGTAAACAAGACTGTGATAGACATAAGAGTTTCTTCCTTCTTACCTGATAAATGTGACTGATCACAGCTGAAATGAACTTGGCTTTATAATATTTCCATCAGTCCACCGGAGCTGAACAAACTCCCCTTCAGGAGGGGGTCCCAACTGGATACAATCTCTGCTCTGTTGACAGAACAATACAGTTTAAAAGGCAATGCACACATATCCCTAAGGTGGAAAGCCATATGTAAACAAGTCTTTGACTACTGCTATCCATTTGTGCCCAAGATTTAATGCTACCCAACATTTACAACTGTGGCCAAGATGATTCTGGTGATAACAATAAACAACCATTTTCTAAAAAGAATAGCTTCATTTGAGGTAAGCAGTATTTATCTTTGTGTCTCTCCCAATGCCTAGTCCAAGAATTTTTATAAATTATGCACTAAGTAAATGCTTATTTGCTGAAAGAATTAAATAAAATATTATATATATATATATATATATATATATATACGTATACACACACACACACACACACACACACACACACACACACACACACATATGAAAATGTTATAAATTGAGGAGTTAATTGAATCAGTAAAAGGTAATGCTATCATCCCCTCAAAGTCACAAGCCTGACAGGTCAGAGAATCAGGAACTGTGATACTTGAGCGGCAAGCTCAACACAGTGAAAAGAGTTCTTGCCCTTGGCCAACTACTGTCTGTAGAATAGTCTTTTTTTTTATGTCTTGTGTAATTACTGAATATTGTCTTGCTTGAATTTTGTGTAAAACAAAGGAACAGTTTGAAGGTGCAGAAATGTGGATGTCTCAAGGTAAAGAACAGGTCACAATACAATGCTCCTGAAGGCAACACGGGAAGAGACACATGGTGCCAGTCTTCACTTTCCCAACTACCAGCAAGTTTCCTGGCTTATTAACGGCAGTCTCTTTCATCAGGTGATGAGGTAACAGTTCCCTCCTCCCTTCCCACAACAAGCCCACCAAAACATCTCAAGGCTGCTCACAATAATGCTCTCTGGGTACAAGTTGTCACTGTAGGAACCATCATCAAAGTTCACTTCATAGAATGTCTGTGTGGTTGTGCCAATTACTTTGCACCGATAATAGAGGCCATTACGGTTCTTTGTGATGACCGTCTGGCCCAATGACACTTCCCTTAGAAACTGGACCTAGAAAAAATAGAGAAAAGTCACCATCTCAACAACCCAAACAGGCACTGATGAAGATTGAGAAAAAATGAAAGCTTTTATACCAAGAAGCACTTACACCTTGGCTGCCTGTTTTATGCTTAAAGCAAGTGATAGACACAACGTAGGGCCAATCGTCAGGTTCCATTAGGACCCCAGCCGCATGGGCACAGGTCACATGAAAAGAAGTAGAGCAATGTTCATAGGAACACTGGATACAAGCTCCAGATATCTTCTTCATTCGCTTTCGACAGTAAACACATTTCTGAAGTGACACAGACAGAGAAATCTGGTTTTTACACAGGAAAAGGTGCTCATTAACTAGTCAACTAAAAACTTTTTACCCAAACATAAATCCTTTTGGATTCCAGGCATTTTCTCTGGCTGTCCCCATGCCTGGAATGTTCTTCCTCCTTATCTCTCCCTTTTAGCTTCCCTGGCTTCCCTCAAGTTTCAACTAAAATTCTACAGGAAGCCTTTCCTGATCCCCCTCTTTAATTCTAGTGCCTGCCCTCTTGGGGGAAGGGAGAAGAGGAAGTAGGAAGGGAGTAAGTACTTATTAAGTGTCTACTTTGTGCCAAGCACTTTAGCTCATTTGATCCTCACAACAACCCCAGGAGGCAGGTGTTACTATGACCCCCATTCTACAGTTGAAGCAACTGTAAGTTGACCTGCCCCAGGTCACACAGCTATTAAATATCTGAGGCTGAATTTGACCTCAGGTCCTTCCTTGCCTCCAGGGACACTCAGAGATCATTCTAGTTTAACTATACAATTTTCCAGTAGAGAAAAATGATGTACACAGAGAAACAACTTGCTCAAGGCCAAACAGGGGGTCAGTACCAGAGCGGCCTCTAGAACATCTTGAACAGGATGACCCATGGACATCTCACACTCACTATGTCCAAAACATTACTCAAGCATTCCCCCAAACCTTCTCTTCTTCTGAACGGTCCCTTTTACTGCTGAGGGCACCGTGGTCTCCCCCTCCCCTAGGCTTGCCCCTTCAGTGCCATCCTGGACTCCTGACATAAGCACTATGCTGCCCAATCTTGTCCCTTCTGCTTTCTCAAAACCTCCTGAATCTGTCTCCTTCTCTCCACCCACACAGCTGTACGTCTGCTGCAAGTTCATCATCACCTCATGGCTGCCCGAATGCAATAACTTCTTTTTTCATTTTTGCAATCACTTCTAATTGATCTCCCTGCCTCAAGACTCTCAACACTCCAATCCATTCTCCATTCAACTGCCAAAACAATGTCCTAAAATCTAAGTCTAACCATGTCACCCCTTGTCCCCCTTTATGTAACAAATGCCAGTGACTCCCTGTCACCTCTGCGGTCAAACACATGATCCTCTGTCTGGTTTCTGAGGCCTCTCCCGACCTTTCCAGGATTCTTACATTTTACAGCCTTTGTGGTTCAGCTGTCTCAGTTGTGTCTGACTCTCTATGCCTCCCTTCAGGTTTTCTTTGCAGAGGTACTGGAGTGGGGTTTGCCATTTCCTCTCCAGCTCATTTTACAGAGGAGGACACCGAGGTAATCAAGGTTAAGTGACTTGCCAAGAGTCACACAGCAGTAAGGGTCTGAGGCCAGATTTGAACTCAGGAAGAGAAGGCCGGACGCTCTATCCGCTGCACTGCCTATTCCCATACCAGCCTCCATAATCTACAATGAAGTGACACTGACTTTGGTGCTCTTCACATACCGCACTCCATCCTGACTCTCTGCCTTTTCTCTGGCTGTCCTTCATGCCTGGGATACCGTCCTTCCTTACCTCTGCTTCTTGGTTCCAATAGCTTCCTTCAAGACTCAGCTCAAATCCCACTTTCTCTAAGAAGCTTTTCCCAGCTCCCCCCTCACCACTAATGCCTTCACTCTGAGAGAGTCTTTCCTTTCCACTGTAGATATCTAGTGTGTACAATCTGTGCATGTTGTCTCCACCTTTAGGCTGGGAGCTACTTGAAGGCAGGGACTGCATTTTTGTCTTTCTTTGTATCCTCAGTGCTTAGTATGGCTCGTTGATTGACTGAACCTAGGTCTTCTGACAAAATCCAAGGCTCGGCTACATCCTTTCCAAGGAAGTGCCTCAGACAACACTGTTGCCTCAGTTCTGCTCTTCCCTTTGGGAGCTTTTGTCAGGCTTCAAAGGAATTGTTCTGATTTTCTTTCCACAGAAAGCTATTTTTGCATAACTGCCTTAAAAAAAAGTCTCACAAAATGGAGCTCCCTAATGATGAAGGGCTTCATCCTTGCTGAACCACACAGCACCACCCACATCTGAAACCAGATACCTTGCTGCACATGTGTCCCTTACCCCAGTACACATGGCCAACAAGAACTCTAGGGGTAATTAATGTATGCTACACCCCACCCCATTGCTGCACAGGGATACTGTAGTAATCCTGGGAATTGGCCAGCTTCAGAACTAGCCAGACCCCTTTATGTTATCTGAATATCATTCCTAGTATTTAATAAGTGGCTTCTTGATCACTCTGGAAACTGTGTTCAAATACTAGATAAGTACTACAGCTAAGGGCTCGGCAGGTACATAGCCCCACACTGGAATCAATAGTGATGAGATCTCATTACTAAACTGTCAATAGAAAATTCTCTCACCAACAGACACAGCGCTGATATACAACATGCTCAATATTCCTTCGTGAGGGAGTATTGACCTTCAAGTCCTGAGGACTCTGATTTTCCTCGCTGTGATAGCCACCACCAACACAGAATGATTGAAGGTACTGAATATGACTCAAGTCACAGCCAGTCTCCTCCACAAAATGGAGGACATGGAAAGCAAGAGTGACTAGTTCTACACATTTCATTAAAACAAATCACTAATAAGCAGGCTAGTTACAACCTGAAGAGACACACTCTTATAACATCCAGAAAAGGAAATCAAGAGTCTAAGAAAGTTGTGAAGGGAAAAAAAGTAGCTATCCAAAGACACTTTGTAAGGATGAGAGCCAAACCTAGCTATCCATGCTCATGAAAGAAAATCCTTAGAGCAAATGCATAGTGAAAAATCAGATCAGAGCACAGAGTGAAGAATGGGCTGTCTCCAGTATTATGAACGCTACAATTCATTTACTCCACTGAGGAATGACAGCTAATTATTCTGAATTTCCATGTCATAAATAATTTACACTCAGGCCCACAATACACCATTAATCAGGAGCCATGCAAAGACCATTTCTTACAACAGTGCATAGCTGGCTGGGTTAAGAGAGCCTTGCACCACAAGAAAACGCATGGGCTCAATGCAGATGACATACTGATGGATCATTCAGATACTCTGGGCTTCTTCAATGACACTGCTCCCTGAATCTCCTCTATTCATGCTCCCTGATTCAGACCCAGGCCTGCAGGCTCCTCAGGAAAGAATATTAGCCCCTAAAAGAACCATGTGAGGAAAGTGCTTCAGAGCAGAGGACCACACCTCTACAATGTGGCCAACAGGCTATGGTTTCAGTATCTTGGCAGCAAGATATTTTTGCCCATTCATTCTTGTTCAGGATCAGGAATTATCTTAGAGATCTAGTAATATCTTCAAAGGACAAAACTAGGAGCAATAGTTTGGCACAAAATGTAGAGGCAGAATTCAGCTTGATGTTAAGGAAAAACTTTCTAATGAAGCCATCTGAAAGTAAAAAGGGCTACCTTGGGTTTGGGTGGTAGCAACCTCCTTTCAGGAGACTTTTGAGACCAACTCTCAGGGATGTGTTGGAGGAGATTCCCATTCATTTATGGACTCAAATGGATAGTTTCTGGGGTCCCTTCCGTCTCCAGATGACCTGCCTAGTGGTCCATAAGACCACTTTTGGGGGGCACAGAAACCGAATTCAAGTGCATACCCACTAAGGATGAGATATGTAGCTATGTGGTTAATAACATGTGAAGAGAGGGCTGCAGGTTTGGATGGAAAACTGAATCATGATGCACAGGGCTGGGTTTCAATTCAATGCTTACTGATGCAGACCTACAGTGACTCCTAGTGGACATCATACTATTAGTGTGCTCTCACAAATTGTAACAAAACATCCGTGCATGAAGAATAATATAAACCACAGAGCAGTGTGAAAGAACAGGCAGGTTTACTTACTGGTGTGCAGGACAGGTGATCTAATTTAGTCAATAAACATTCCTAGTAGCAGAGCATAGAATAATAACTTCCTTTCTATCAAGAACCAGGCCCAAAGTCCTCTCTGACTTCACACATAATATATCCTAAGAACAGATAAATGGAGCACTCTTCTTGCGTGCTTCTCATACCTAACAGCTCTTCACAGAAATCCATCATGTTTCAAATAAAGAAATCCTACACGCTATCTATAAACATTCACCCTACAGCAGAAGCTATGACCAGCCATGAACTGCCCATTCGAATCAAAATACTGACCTATACAGTAAGCAGTAGCTAGCCTCTTCTTATTCCTCAACTTGGCTAAGATGGGTGAGATCTGAAGCGCTTTTGTGTGCATGTGGTTAAGCCTTCGGAAGTGGGCTTCTCTTAAACCACTATGGGAGCTGATAATCTAGTACGCAGTCTGAGAAGGTGCTCTGGATCAGGTCTAAGCTGAGAAGGACTCACACTTTTCTTTCCTACAAGGATCCTGGTATATATTGTAAATGCAAATCACATCCCTGTGAAGTCATCTTTCTTAGTCACAGACATATAAGCAGACCAAGAAGGTTGGGCCTGGAATGAGCAATGAGAGGAGATACAAGGTAGGTACAATGGTGTTAGGCTGCTAGTGGGCAGACCTGCAGGAGTTAAGTGCTTTCCTTGTGAGGCCCCATTAAGCAGTACAAGTGAGCCTTGTGTAAAAGGATTTTTAATTCATCGTTACAAGCACTGGTAATGAAGAGGATGCATGCTGGAAATGTCAGATGATCCGTAAGGAGCCTGTGCGAGAGGATTTATCACTCGCGTGTTGCGATGCTCCATCACTCCACCTGAATAATGAATGCTTTTAACA